ATAGGAAAAAAACACCAAAAGAGAAAATTAAGTAGAAAACCAAAAATATAAAAAAATAAACAAAAAATAAGCTGTTTCTTTGATACCACCTATGAAATAGCAAAACCCCTGAAAGCCTGTTTAGAGAAATACGAGAGAAAAAAAAGCATACAAAGTTCAGATGAGACAGGAGACACAACCAGAAATGCAAGAGAATAAAATGAGACTATTCAATAAAAAATAGAGACTATTGTGTGCATCTCTATGGCAATAAATTGCAAATCTAGAAGAATGGCTCTCAACCTTGGCTACACATTATAATCACCTGAGGAGCTTGAAAAATTACCGATGTCTGAGACCTATTCCCAGAGATTCTAATTTAATTGGTGTGAGGTATGGCCCGGGCACAGAGATGTCCAAGAATTGCCCCCTGTGATTCTGATGTTTGACCATAATTGAGAACCACAGAATTCTTAGGGGTCTTGGACTGCCAGTATCAGCATCACCAGGGAGCTTGCAAGAAATGCAGACTTGCAGGCCCCACTCCTGACCCACTGAATCAGAATGAGCATTTTAACAACATCCTATTGATGAGGCATATACATATTAATTTTCGAGAAGTACTGATCTAGAGAAAATGAACGACTTCCAAGGAAAATATAGATACCAAAATTTAAGAAGAAAAGCTGAAGGACCAGTTAATGTAAAAGAGATCAGAAAAGACCTACCATTTCTAAAGAGGTATCAGACTCAAATCTTTCACAACTGAGTTCTATCTAATCTTCAAAAAAATACAAGGGGGGACCCAAAAAACCCAGAATTTATTTATAAAAAATTGTGTATTTATTCTTGCTTAAACTTCAGTCACCTACAAAATACTCTGATGCAATACACACCTATCGAGACGCTTTTTCCACTGCTCAAAACAGTTTTTGAACTCAATTTTGATGACTTTTAGTGCTTCTGCTGTTTTTTTGTTTCACTTCTTCCACAATGGCAAAACGTTTCCCTTTGAGGACTTTTTTCATCCCAAGAAGCAAAACAAAAGTCGCTGGGGGTGAGATTGGGTGAATAGGGAGGGTGAGGAACAGGGGTCATGCTGCATCTGGTCAAAAACTGCTGAATACTCAGTGCAGTGTAGGAAAGCTGTTCATGTAAATCACCCATTATGAAATGGGCAAAAGTGTTGAAAGAATCTCCAAGAAAAATTCACTGAAGCCAAACACTGCCTCTCACAACAATGCTTCCTCGTACACTGATGTCAATGTGTTCCGAGAACACTTACCTAGTGGGGAAAGCCTGTACTGCAAGGGGTCTGCCCTCCAAAAGATAATTCCAAGTTTTGGGGAGGTTCTCCTTGTAGACCATGCCTCTAGTTTTTTTTAATATTTTATTTTAAAGATGTGGGGTACAATTCAGGATTAGGAGTACAAGTGGACATCATACAGGTAAAGTTTAGGCCTCTCTTTGGTCCCACTTTGCCTGGTTTGAGATCAGGTACCCTTATTGATGTTGTGTCCCCATCTCCACCCTGGCAGTATCCCAATATTGCCAATCCTTGCCTCTAGTTTTAAACCATTGGAGATTATAGAAAAGTTTCCAAGTTTATCTTCTAGAGCTAGGATTACATTCATATTCAAACCTGATAACAACAGTGCAAAAACAGGCTTGGTGTCGTGGCTCACTTCTGTAATCCCAATACTTTGGGAGACTGAGGAGGGAGGATTGCTTGAGTCCAGGAGTTTGAGACCAGCCTGGGCAACATAGTGAGACCTTGTCTCTACAAAATGAGCTGTGATCGTGCCACTGTACTCCAGTCTGGGTGAGAGTGAGAACCTCACTAAAAAAGAAAGAAAGAAACCCATCCGAATCATGAAAACAGATTTAAAAATTCTCAAAATGCTAGCCAATTTAAGCAACATTTAAAGAACAATAAAAATTGCCTAAGTAGGGCACTTTTATTCTAGAAATATAAGTATAAATTTAGAAAATCTATCAATGTAATTCAATGTACTTCATTACATCAACAAAGAAAAATAGAAGGCCAAAGTAATTGTCCTACTCGGTTTAGCTAAAGGACATTTGCTAATACGTCATTTCTAATAAAATCTTTAAGTAAGATAATAATATAAGGCAACTATCTAAGTTTAGTAAATGCTATTTTCCAAAACCAACATTATATCAAATTATTAAATACTGAAGTATTACTATTAAAATCAGGAGTAACACAAAAATGCCCACGATAATATACAGGGGTGCCAAAAAAATGTATACACATTTTAAGTATAATGTTCACTCAAAAGATGGCGCTAATCAAATGAATGCTAGTGTCACCATGCGACAGGCAGGACAGTCAAAGAAAATGGTGGAAGCCAGTTGAGCAAACATCATACAACACATTGCTACCATTTCAACCTTGAAAGTAATACTCAGATAACATCTCTTAAAATGCATATACATTTTTTGGCACCCTGTATATTATTCAACATTGTTTTAGATATTCTAGCTAAGATGCAAAAAGGAAATGACATCTTTTTTGACATGACTGCACACATAGAAATGTGGTATATTAACTGGGTGCATGAAACATATACATATAGCTTTTCTTTATATTCTAGCAGTATCGAGGTAGCTACAAAAATTATAATGCACTTTTGAAAACTATGGGACCTAGATGAAGAAAGCAATAATATTTTATGAAATAATGCAAAACAAAACCAGAATAAATGAAGGAACATAGATGTGAAGACAGTATGATGAAAATGTCAGGCCCAATTTAATATTAAAAATTTATGCAATTTGAATAAAAAATCCCAATGGGTCTTTTAAGGGAAATTGGGTAAAATGATTTTAATGTTCCTATGGAAGGGTAAATGTCAAGAAAACCATGAAAAAGAATAGAACTAAAGAGGGATTTGCCTTCTAGTTCATCAAGTACTGTGAGAAAAACAATACTGCACTGGCACAAGAATAACAAATCAGAACAAAATAGACTTCAGAAATAAAACCAAGGATATATATGATTGTCACATACATGTCATTTCAGCTCATAGGAGTCATTTCAGAAACAGTGCTGGAATAATTGGCTCTCTATCCAAGAGAAAAATTAGACTTCTTACCAAACAACGTATACCAAAATAATTTTAGTTGTGTACAAATCCAAACAAAATTAAAACAATAAAAATGTCAGAAGAAAACCTAGGCATGTATTTGTAGAGTCTTGGGGTAGAATAAACATTTTTTAAGCAGGACAAGAAATTCTAGGAATTATAAAGAAAAAAACTAGCCATTCGATCACACAGATATCAAAGATTTTTATATATCAAATGATTATATAAACAGTAACAAAATATAAACCATAAAATGTACAGCAAATGTATTAGCAAGATAATAGGCCTAGTGTACAAAGGGCTCCAAATAGAAAGTGGGGCAAGGATTTGAACAGGCAATTTATCAGAGTGACAATTCAAAGGGTTATTAGATATAAATAGTCCAGTTGAGGCAAACTGAAACGATATTTTTTTCTTTTTTTAACCTGTGAGATTAACTGTAACACCCACTGTTTGTAAGGCTGTGGGGAATGGACCCTCCCATAATACTGCTGTAGGAGTGTGAATTGCACTTGATGTTTAAAAAGAAAATCACTGAACCCAGAATAGAATTGATGCTGTGGTTACAAGATGGAGAAAAGATTTATGTGTATGGACTAAGATTGGAAGAGAACAAAGACAAACAATCTCTTTAATAGAGAAGGTGGCATTGTGGGTGATCATTTTCCCAATTTTTGTTATGAAAGCATGCAATAAAAATAATTTGCAAGATTTCCGTCTTTGTATAGTAAGTCAATTTGCCCTTTAAAAATAATTTTCTGAAGAACTAAAAGCATGCTGCCTTGGGAGAAACAAGAACTAAACCTTTGAAAGTCTGCCACAAGCATTTGTACTGTTCAAGAGGGAACAGTACAAATCAATAGAAGAAAAGCGGACACAAATATGCAAGGCTAAAAGGGGAAAACCTCCCATTTTGTTAGTGTGCTAATAATGCTGGGGGCAGCCCAAAACTGGACTAACATTTATTTTATTAGGATGGCAAAAGGGAACTCTTCTGCTCCTTTCCCTGTGTCCTGGCCTGAGAGGGTTGGGCAAGAGGCTCCATTTCTCTGGTGGGAGCCCAACTAGTCTCTCTGTAGCTCATGGGGGGTGCAAGGTAGGCCCCATGCCGAGTAACCGGCTACATCAGTCAAGGCCTACACTGGGAGGAAACAGATGGGAAGCAGACTCATCTCAGCCTCTTGGTCTCTCAATCTGCCTTCACTAGAAGAAATCACACACTCAGTCGGCAAATTCTTGTGTCTATTTTCAGTGTGGTTAGAATCCAGAGGGGAGGACGGATGTGATTAGAACCTCCAAGCCCCAACAGATGGCTTTGCAATACCTCCCCTCATTTCAAAGAATCTCAAGCAAAAGGAAACGGGTTCGCATTTAAAGCCAAATACAAGCATGAAGGACAAGCAGAAACTGGCCTCTCTGGAAGGAAAAATACTATGGGTCTAGTTAACTGTTCTGTCATTTTAGTCACTGTTTAGATATTTCTGTGGTAGTTGACACACCTAAATGGCATCTAGAAGTCCTAAGCAGATTTTCAGTAGCAAAGTCCCCTAGTGGCTTTACAATATCAGCAGGTCACTGTAATGTCAAATCCAACACCAGCAGTACAAGTAACACGAGAGATCAACTGAATAAAAAAACTAAGGAAAAATCATACTTGATTTTTGACCTTAAACTTGATAGACTAAGTATTTCTAACTCAGAGGTCAAAAGATGATTTTAAAACCCAAGTAAGTACAGATGCTATGCCTATATGCAAGTGACGCAGTTCTTGTTGCTAGAAGTGAACTACTGAAGGGGTAGCATCACTCCCTGCCTGGAACAAGTTGGGGATTTATTAAATGTGATTTAAGTCTCCTCATTTCCATGTGTGCATGTGTGTATACCTTGTCTATAGCCAACACTCCACTAAGGTAACTTAAAACAAAATAGGAATTTATTTACAATAGCAAAGATGTCAAAAATAACAGGAACAATATATAACAAATCCAAGAATTATTTTATGAAAAAGGCAAACAATATATACACGAAACAAAAGATGAAACAAAATCCATAGGGCAAATTAATTTTGACCTTATCTAAACAGCCGCAGAACGTGGCAAAATGGTTTTTTGGATATGAATTACAAAAGTAACCCCAGGCCAATTAAACACACAGAACTTTTCAGCCCTTCTCTTTCACCTACTGACTGAAGTAACCCCGGGCCAATTAAACACACACAATTTTTTCAGCCCTTTTCTTTTGCCTATTGACTGAATCTTCCTCTGAACTCTATTTACCTTTGAGAAATGTAACTATGGGGCCATACAAGATTTAGGAAGTGCCAGCTATTTACATGTGCACAAAAGGAAATACTTATTGACAGGTAGCCTTACTTTTTTTTTTTACTTCCACTGTCCATTTCTGGTTCTTGTGATTTTTCTCATCTACCATACAAAACGTTGCACCAGTAATCTTTCCAGTTCCTCAAGTACTCTCAAAGTGTTTTCTAAACTTGAGCAGAGAACACAGATTGCTGGGCCCCACAACCAGTTTCCCAATTCAGTGGGACTGGAGTGGGGCTGAAAATTTGTATCTTTAACAAAGTTCCAGGGGATTGACACTGCCAGTGCTGCTAAGTCACACTTTGAATCCACTGTTTTGAAATAATGCCCCTTTATATTGACTGGCCATGCTTCTCCTGACATAAATCCTAGAATTCATGGGAAATACAGGACATTGTTAATATCGAGAATCCCAGAGAACAGAGCAGTACATTATCTGCTTCATTGGGACCGGTTAGGTGTCATTTGCCAGGTGCTCCATTACAACTTTCTGAGCATGCTATCGTTTCATCTGACTTATGGCTCTGGCCAGTGACATTCACTATGTTCTCTTGATCATTACCTCAAATTTTTATTATGCATCGTTAGGCAAACATTTGTTCGTAAAGTTGAAGAACTGCAGAATCTCAAAGATGGTGCAAACGTATCTCTTTTGACTCCTGATAACTTGTACCTAATTTCCGACTTTTACTATGGCAATGACCATTCTCCAGTATATTAGCGTCAACTAGGGTCCTCCAAACTGGGCACAAAGGGGTAACTCGAAGGCAGGGATTCTGCTGTAGAGGTGGTGACAGTCCCCACTGATTAAATGTGCCATGAATTGATACTGAAATGAACTTTAAGTGCTCTCAAAAACCACTTTATGCATGGGTAATTTATCCCAGGGGAATTGGAGATGCTAATAAAACAAATCCTTTATGAAGATAAAAGAAAAAAATGAATTTCAAGGACATGCTCATCAAAGGACTCACCAATCACCTCTTAACTTCTCTGAAATATTACTTGCAAATTCACAGGACTGAAATATTACCAGTATTTGCATCTGAGTCACAAAATTCAAAGCAATCAAGCATTTTGCATTCTGCTGCTGCATAAAAGATATTAAGAAATGGGGGGATGAAAATAATTCACTGCTTTTGATGTTTACTAGGTTTACAAAAACTGTACATTTTTTTTTTCTTAAGAAAAAGCATTAACTTAGTACTGGTATCAAATAGACTAAACATTCATAAACAGGAAAATATTCTGATTTTTATTTTTGCACGTTATTCTCAAGTACACAATTACAATAATGTCACACATCCCTATATGATTTTCTTTTTATGCATTTTACTTTTTTTACAAAGTGTACAGAGAGGGAGGAACATACAATATTTAATAGGATATTTCTACAGAACAATAACTTATATTATGTCCTTGTAAAAATCTGTACCTCTTTAAAACATTTAACTGAAACATCCATTTTTTTTAGCTTTGCTAATCAAAATTGTTTTAAGAATTAAAACTAGGTTGTAACTAATGTCAGTACATAACAGTGACTACGATTCCATTTTCTCTTTATACAGACAAATACATTTTATCATATTCACTTGACCAAACCCTTAAATACCTTTTAAAGGTTTCAATATTGTGCTTTAAAAAGAAAAGAACTGTGTATGATTCCAGAGTATGTAAGAGAAATATAAAGTGTGTAAAGTGTTGTGTTCTTTATCTTTCAGTTTATTTAAAAAAATATAGTTAAATGACCCAATCATTTATATTTTATGTATTAATTTTACAGGACATTTTAAAACTCATAAATTTCCATTTTCATTTAAGTGTGTTCTTTTACGTTATCTCTGGGAAAAATAAAAATTAAGGGAGATTTTAAAGGTTCTCACAAAAAAACAGACAGAGCTTTCAAGAATAGTAGGGCAATAAATCACATTAATTGTGAGTGACTTTAAAAAAAAAAAATCACGTTATAGGGACCAAGAAGATACAGGATTTCCATGTGGGACAGGCTAGGAAAATCCATGCCTTGGCTTTGACTGGCATTTAGGCTACAATTCTTATCAATCTAGCACTTAAGAGGCCCGCCAAACACCAAGTATTTTTATTTCTGACCCTAAAAATCCAACTCTTGAATATAAATACCAATGGCAAAGAGAAAGATGAAAGGTAAAAACCTAAGCATGAAGGGGATGGACCACCAAACGAGGTGGCAAGGCAGCTATCGAGTGGAAAGAGAATTTCTCAATCTCCCACGATGTGCCAGATACATATAGGTCAATAGCCAATTTAAGGGACCCCCAAAACTGTTTTTTGCTCTCCAAGATTAATCTTAACATAACCAAATTCTAATTAGCCGAGTTCATTTTATAAATTTATGACTCTGATTCAGACTTATTTGTTAAAAAATGCCAACTCTCAAAGAAAAGCAAAACTGTAAAAGACTTGATGTTCCAAATAAGGGCTCAGATTTTCCTTATGCACTTAAAACACACCTTTATCTTCTAATCAAAGCCAACTTGAGTGTTAAGTTTTTAACGTTTGCTAACTGTAACTGTCTAAGAAGTAAGAGCAGGCTGAACATAACAAGCGTAAGTCATAATTAGCACTCGTTCTCTGGTCCACGGAGCCATTGTTTCCTCTACGTCCCTCTCACTTGGTGAGACAGAGATCTCTCTCAGGCTTCTCAGAGAGAACTGTGGGAGTCATGTCTGAATACTCATTAGCTTTTCAGAAAAATATAAAGGTATGGAGCTGAAATTGTATGAAAACATTCTATCTAGAAACATCTTAACTTCTATTTTTCAATTACCAAAGATATTTAAAAGAAAATACCTTTACTCTTCAAAAATACTAGTGTCCTTATTTTCCTTCTAATTCTTCACCTGAGTAGTCTCTCTGAAGAGCATGACTTACAAAATGCTCTCTCATGCATCCCTGGATCTTTCATGTTATTGTAAATTTAATACTTTCATTATAGATTTTAAACAACTACTACTTGGGGTTGTGTGTATAAATATGTAAAATAAGCAATACACACAGATACATGTTATATATATGTGTATATATATAATTCAGGGTACATTTACATATATAAAGTTGCAAAAGATCCTATAAGCCACAAGTTACCTCTAGGAGATTCCAAAATGCAGTCCTCATAAGTCTCATGTGTAGCACACAACCATTCCAAGACAAGGCAGCACAGACAGAATAATCAAAATACAACAGGATCAAGCAAAATTTTTCAATAAAGTTTTCTAAAAGTTTGCTACGCTGACAAAAGATGTAAATAGTCCGAAGAAAACCAAAAGAAGTATATTTTGTCTGCTAAACAAAATGAAAAGTAAACACAAACCCAGTCACTGTACTTTGCTCAGTGACACCAGGGATTCAAAAGCTCAAATGGGAAACTGACATTGTCAAGTGGTCTGAAAATATTAAGCAAGACAAGTAAACGACTTCCATGTTATGACAATTATAACTGACCATAAAATCTCCCATTTCTATTAGTAGATGTCTCTGACAATTTTATTGTGAGAAATTTATGGGAAAAAAAATGAGTCAACATGAATACTTTCAGAGTTACCAATCTAAAGTTACCTTAAGTTAAATGGTCTTAGAAGAGTACCATCAAGGTAAGCAAGGTAAATATTTAAATAAATATAAAACTTCTAAGATAGAAAAATTCAGTATAGAATCAGGGATTACTTTATTAAAAGCAACTAGCTTGTTGCCATTTCCCCCCATTTATTAAACAAACTGAATAGAATTCAGAACACACTATTGAACAAAATGTAAAAAAAAAGTTAACTAGAAGCAATAATTCTATTTATACACAGCATAAATCAATATACAGTATTGTATGTGAACAAGACTGATTGGCTTTAAAATGAATTTTCAGCTTCAAGGCCAATATCTCTACAAACATCTGTAGAATATTGTTAGGGCAGACCAACTTCTTTATGATGTCGCATTATGTGCTGGTTCTTTTCTGAAGGTCTCCGGAACCCTTTCTTGCAGTACTCACACCGGTGAGGATAGTCTTTCGTATGAATGGAAATAACGTGCCGTTTAAAGCCTGAGGCGTCTGTAGTGCTATACTCACAGTACTCACACTGATACACTTTCCTGCCACTGTGTGTCTTCATATGCTTTTTAAGCTCATTCTGTTGTCTAAATCCCTTTCTACATCTCTTACACCTAAATGGAAGATCTTTTGTGTGAACTGAGAGAATATGGCGACTCAGAACAAACGGATCTGCAATCTTAAAGTCACAATGTCTACACTGATGCATTTTTTTACCCTTGTGGGCAGCCACGTGTTTCTTGAGTTCTGAAGGCCTATGAAAGCCTTTATCACACATATCACACTTATGGGGGTAGTCCTTCGTATGAACTGAAATTATATGTCGTTTTAAATCGCTTGAGTTTGAACTCTTATGGTCGCAATGCAAACACTGGTGTGTTTTGCTTTCTTGGTGGATAAGAGCATGTTGCTGCACCTCTTTGGTATCTGAGAAAGTCAGAAGACAAATGTCACATTTGAATGGCATCTCTTTACTATGCTTAGTTTTTACGTGCGTTTTCAAATTAGAAGAGTCTGCAGACCTATATTCGCAGTACTGGCACTGGTACGGCTTCTCCCCAGTATGGATTCGCATGTGCTTTTTGAGCTCTGATGGGTGACGAAAACCTTTACCGCACTCCACACAAATATGAGGAAAGTTCTTGCTGTGGACTGCCAAAAGGTGGCGATTCAATAACCCTTGTTCAGCTGTCTCATATTCACAGAATTTACACTTGTGCATTTTGTTGGCTCCTTTCTCCTTATGCACCATTTTGTGAGTAAATAAAGCCCCCGCGTGAGAGAAATGCTTCCCACACTCATCACATTCGATGGCCTTCTCTGCCTTGCTGGTCAGCTTGTGGCTCTCTAGGTGGTTGTGTAAACTTAACTTCTTGTTGGTAGTGTAATCACAGTCAGTACAGCGGTACTTCTTCTTAGTAAGGTGTTCGGGATGGTTTTTCATGTGCCTTTTCAAAAAACCTCTTGACTTAAACTTCTTCCCACAAATCATGCAAGGATAGACTGTCAAAGGATGTCCATCAGGGCCGATAATTATTGCTAAGAAAGGGAAAAAGAAGGAGTATGAATGCTCAAATCAAGTTCTTTTCTGGTTTCTTCCAGAATTTAAAGTGAGTGTTCTGACCACTGTTGGCCAAGGACTCCTAAGTTAGGTTATTTGCTATTTAACATCCCTTTTACCATTTTTCAACATCAGACATAGTAACTAGTCATAAGGAGAAAATGGTCTGGAAACTTCAGTAGGACTGTACCAACCTCACTCCCTCCAGTTTAAAAAAATTAATGAATAAATATGTAACTTCTATCAATGAGTGATTAAAGATACAGCAATTTAGAAATTGGTGGGAAATTATTCATAAAGATAAGGTTTTGTGACCAACATTTCTGCTTTGGTTATTCCAAAACACATTTATGTTAATTTACAGCAAACTAAAATATACCCATGAAATTTTTAATATGTAAATCATTATACAAGAATAGACAGGAATGTCATAGTAACTGAAGTACTTATCCTGCTGCTCTGTAAATTATTATATTATATATTATTTTATTTTATTTAAAAAGTTCATGCTTGTAACATATTTAAGGGATTTCATTTCACTTCCACATAAAATCATCCGAGTTTTGAAGTTTTTCATTCACGTTTAATCTATCTCCTGTTTCTTTTTATCCAAGGAAATCATTCATGAATATCACTGAATTCTGAAAATTATATTTCCAAATTCAATACACAAAAGCTACATGTGGTCTAGCAGCTAAAATGTCATCATGACACCCCTGTGGATACATACTAGAGTTTCATCTGAGAGCTTGCAGAGCTCGCTGCGCTGTGGAACTTGTGCGCCCTCACCTGTTTGGTACTGCCTGGAATCAGGTCTTCTCCTTTTCTTTGGTTTTTGTTTAGCCAGTCTGCCGAGGCCAGCAGACTCATCTATGTGCAAGAGGGCACTTGCAGTGCCATTCCGGTTTTCAATTCCATCAGAATTATTACCTAACAATGCGCATTAAAAAACAAAATTATACAGTATTATAAATTCTAAAGAACTAGGAATTCTTTATTAACTACAACAATGAAAAGTAAGCCATGATACTCATGAATGACAGAAATTCCCCATTCTACGTAATGGGTTTTATGAACACATTTATTATAGCGAGACCATAGGAAATGCCTAACTTCCAAAGCTAAAAAATACATGTCAGCATTTTGCCCCATGAACTCCCTTGTTGTCTCCCAAAATTGTAAAGTCATGGGCCAGATATAATCAAGATGAAAAGTTTCAGCTTGAAAGCCTGTGTACTTCTTGCAGTACTTCCTTCTTACGTAATATACACATGAAGGAAATTCCTGTTGAAAATAAAGACAAAAAGTAGACTTTATAATCTTCCTCTACTCTTATTAAATCCAATAATCCTCACAGGGTACTGGTATTTCTCAAGCCAAAGAAACCATTTTTCAATCATGAATTCATGTTTGAAAACCAACTCACTCAATCCTAAGAGCTGCTAGGCAACTTACCATAAGCTGCTGCCCATGCAATCGGCATGAAGGTTTTGATTTCATTGTCGTCCATCTGCTGCTCATGCACAGCAGCGGCTGCTGCTGCTGCTGCAGCATCTTCCTCTCCTACAATCACTTCCATATAAACTTCATCGGCGATTTCAGCAACATCTAAGTAGAAAGTTTCAAAACTTCTGTGATCAGGTTTACAGAAATCACAGGAAAGGTGTTTTATTTGAATTCAGTTTATAGACAAATAGAAGGTCCAAATATTACATACCTAGAACATAGCTTTCATGTAGCAAGCACTCAATAAATATTTGCTTAATGAATCATTCACTTCATGGTTTTTACCATAATTTGGTTTTAGAGCAACATTCTAAGCATACATAAAGAGTCACTGATATTTCCCTTGGAATATAGTTAGCATAATAATCTCTAAAATAATGCCACTTATTTCCTTCAAATACTAGCTGTAGAAAAAAAAGAAAAGCTCCAGAAACATAAAATTTTCTCCCACAAAAATGCCACCTACTTACTTAAATCTTCATCTTCTGGTTGAGAGTCATTGACAGTCATATAAACCATCTTTTCCCTGGGAACACGAACACTGCTATTCTGATCAAGTAGTTCAACTCCATGATCATTCTCAGGCTCACTTTCCACAATGTCTACTGTTCCACCTGTCAGGGAAGAAGACAGCTCCAAGAATTTACTTGAAAACTTCATTTTCACCAGTTTCTTTTTACATACTTTTCTACTACTATACTGGAATTCTTGTATAAAAGTGACTTCAGAAAAGATTCCAAATGTTCTCAATCTAAATCACCCAAAAGTAATCAGGTTGAAGCGTTTAGATGAGGATGTATAATGTGCTAAAGGCTTCCTCTTACCTAAGTCATCCTCTCCAGGGTCAGCTTTAAAAATATACACCTTGATGACTTCAGGGCAAGTGCCATCTACTTTACAAGGATCAATTTCCGACTCTGCATCCATGGTCATTCCAGAGGAGCCATCGTGTTCTATTTTGCCAGCATCATCCACTAAAAAGGCAGGAAATACATCACGTAAGACTTAAATAGAATGCTATTGTTTTCAAAAGTCCTTTTTACAAATATAATCTCTAACTTGATTCACATAAAATTGGATTATTTTACCTAGACAAGTAGAAGTTTAAAAAAAGACATTCCTAAAGACTTCTAAAAATGAGATCAGATAGATATTGAAGTGAAAAATACAGCCAGGTGCAGTGGCTCATGCCGTAATCCCAGCACTTTGGGAGGTTGAGGCGTGAGGATTGCTTGAGCTCAAGAGTTTGAGAACAGCCTGAGCAATATTACTGAGACCTCATCTCTACAAAAAATAAAAATAAAAATTAGCTGGATGTGGTGGCACATTCCTCTATTCCTACCAATTTGGGAGGCTGAGGTGGGAGGATTACATGAGCCCAGGAATTCGAGGCTGCAGTGAGCTGTGATCGTGCCACTACACTCCAGTCTGGGTGAAAGAGTGAGACCCTGACTCAAAAGAAGAAAAACGTACATAGAGAAAGTTCCTGATAGCCTAAAAGACTAAACATAGCAAAAAAAGATATACTTAGTCTTTACTGAGCCATAAGGTAAAAACATTTCTATATTAAAGATAGTCTTCTAATACCTAAAGACATTAAAAAAAATCCTAGTAGTAAAACAAATACAGTCTTCATATAAAGATTTCATAAGCACTACTTCATGGTCACTATTCTTGAATATCATTTGATCTGATCAATTTCCATTAGAACGCATTTAAAAACAATCAAAACATGACTGCCAGAAAGGTGCACTGCAATGAGATGGCCAACAGACATTCTAATTCAATCTGCTTAACATTACACACACATATAATCTATATATATATAAATATATGCATAATATATACACACTATTCTAGTTTAGTTAAGTGTCTAGGTCCTTGCTGGCAAATGCAGCAATAAGTGAATTCAAACATATTCTCATATACCCAATGTCCTCCTTAATGGAGATAGCCTGTGTTATGTGGACAGAGGCAAGGAGGGAGGGAGGGGAGAGGGAGAGGGAGAGAGAAGGGAGGAGGGGGGAGGGAGCGAGGGAGAGAGAAAGAAAGAAAACAGAGGTACACATGATTCCTAGTAGTGGAGACTTGGAAGATACACAACATTACATTTTTTAAAGCTTTATATAAGTAGCCAAGGAAATAAATGTGCTACTATACATAAGATTTAGAAAATAAAACAAGAAAAATTATGTCCTAAAATAATAGACTCCTGATTTGAATAAATTCCAAAAATATAATCCTCATATAATGCAACCTTCTATTACACATCACTATGTGCACTGACTATCTCTAGGACAAGCGAAAGTGTAGCAAAGGCCAACGAAAACTTAGTACCCACTACAATTTAATTTATCACAAAAGTTGGATTTATTGATGGTAAGCCCATTAGAGAAACACTGAAGGAATGTTCTCTCTGCTCTAGGCCCAGCTGGCCCATCTGGCACAGCAGACCAACCAGAGGGGAGCAGGACCGAGGCTCAGAAAAGAAGGCTCATTTAGCTTATCTTAAATACTCCCATCAAGTCTTTCACTTCCCCTTCTCCCTCTTAGTTTCCTTTCTGGTGTTCCCCTGCTAAACATATTTGATTACTTATGTTTTCTTCAATTCTCCAGTGAATCACAACTATATATTAGACTCTCAAGCTAAATAAATATGAAAGAATCACGAACTCCAAAAGTTTACAGTCCAGTGGAAAAGTGGACAAGTAAATAGTTATTATTTTTTTGAGTCAGGGTCTTACTCTGTCACCCAGGCTGGAGTGCAGTGGCACGATCACAGCTCACTGCAGCCTCAAACTCCTGAGCTCAAGTGATCTTCCCAACCCAGCCTCCCAAGTAGCTGGGACTACAGGCGCATGCCACCACACCTGACTCATTTTTTAATTTTTTTGTAGAGACAAGATCTCACTATACTGCCCAGGCTGGTATCAAATTCCTGAACTTACGTGATCCTCCTGACTTTGGCCTCCCAAAGTGCTGGGATTACCAGCGTGAGTCACTGTGCCCAACTTCAGATGATGATTTTAAATGTAGTAATAATAATGCAACCACCAATTATTAAGTGATTGTATTAAGGACTATTTATTACAATAATCCTGTGAGGGAGGTGGTACAGTATTGTTTACATTTTACAATAGAGTAAACTGAGTTTAGAGAGGATGAGTAACTTACTTATTTGGAGTCACACAGAATTCAGATCTCAAGCCACATAAGTCCCAATCAGAATTCGTCAACTTCTAAAGTTTCGAGAATGGAGCTTAAATTGGTAGAGGCAACTATGACTCTATTTTTGTTTGTTAAAGAAATGGTAGTTTTTATTTTCTTTTTGCCATGCAGCAAAGGAGGGTCAATTTTTTGGCAAAAATTGACCAAGTTGTTTTCTGAGATTTTTGGAAATGAGCCTATCCAGGGGCAACCAGGGTGTGTTCCCCTCCTTCTCGCATTCTCCCAAATCCCATCAGAGCTCAAAGATTCACACTGGGCCCACGCCTCATCCAGACTCAGGTCCTCATGATCTTTTTAAAATAAAAAAATAGTACTTGTATAACTATCTAAAGATGCTTTTAGTGGAAATCAGGTGAATGTACTCACGACTCAGTCAGGCATAGTCAGTATTGCAACCAATGCTAGGTGCTGGTGCTTTTGACCACTATAATTTTTAAAATTCATAGTGAGTTTATACTCATTATACCAAGACAGAACTTGGATTCTGACATCTTTGCAATGATGCTTCTGCAAAATCCTGTCACATTCTCCATCAGACCCAAACATTGCATTTATCTAATCAAAACTCTTACACAGAACATCAAGATGAATGGAATATTTCAAAAGTCAATATTAAAAAGTCAAAATATAATAACAATTTGCCAACTTGGCATCTTACTTATTAAGAATCAAGACCATCCGCATCCCAAATAAATTACTTGCAGAGAACTTCTTGTAAACAGCATTCCCCAATCCTTTATTATTTGTCAATTACAAACATAAAAATTACAAAATTTAATCAGCTTACTTCAAATGCAAAGTGCATGAATCCCAAACTCTGGGCCACTGAAATCAGTTTATTTCTGACATTGTTACCATCATTAATCAGCAAACTATATTTTAATATACCTTTGGCTTCAAAACTAAACAAATTACTTAAAAATATACTTGTTGATAAATTATACTTTCCTAACATAATTTAAAGTCAACTAAAATGAAGGTCAGTTGTGGGAAAAAAGCAAACATTTACATATATTGTAAGAAGATACTGAAGTTGAACTCTCTAATGTAATCTTAATAAATTGATACAGAACATGAAAGAGGATTCAAGAGTCAGAAATTATTGGCAAACATCAAATTGTACATTGATAGCTACCACAGGAACAAAGAAAAGACACCTCATTTAGGCTGAAAGGACACTTATTTCAGGTAAAGGATACAGCAGGGACAAATGAAGGAAGACATGAAGTGCCATGATGGTAAGTGAATGCATCACTCATTACCGCTAAAATGTGAAGGCAAAGTGTGACACAGGTCATAGTGGTCGAATGCTAAGCAAAGGCCAGGTTATGGAGGGCCTCATGCACAGGCAGAAGAGCTCAGACTTGATCTTGGTAGGCTGGAGGATTTTCAATCTGGTCAGGTGTCAGAATCTCTCAGGGAACTTAAAAACACAGGCTCCAGCACAGTAGTTCTACACAATAAGATTCTGCAGGTCTGGGGCCTGATACACAGAGACAGATTTAGAGGTCCCCTGTCCCCGGGATTGATAAGAGACTTGAGAACATCTGCTGCAGGTGACAGGAAACTTTTAAGAAGAGCAGTGACAAGGTCAGATACCATCCTGCTGGCCTTGGAAAGGCAGCAAGACAGGGATCAAGACATGAAGCATGTGTGAGTCTACCACAATAATGCAGGCAGCGGGTGACAGACAACAAGGACATGAATACGACAGTAGTATGGATGGGGAAGTGGGCTGAACTAGAGGCCCATCTTGGGAAAAAATGAGGACTTGGTGTCCAACTGAAAACTAAACGTGACCAAGGAGCCAACAATAACTGGGGTTTTTGACTCTGGTGATTGAGTGACTTGGGTAACAAATATGACAGAAATTAGAAAAAGGTTCTCTGTTTCTATGTGTTTGCTTAGTTTAAGGTCCCAAGAATAATGTCCCCAAAAGCCCTCAGAGCCAGTCCCTACCACTTTGTACTCACTGCACCCTTTGCTTGTTTCGCTCAGAGTACACAATTCACTGTGTTGTCACTAGTGGGTTTCACCCCGCCCCCATCTTTCCCACTGATAGGAAGAATCTGTATTTTTGTTATGCAGTAGAGACTTGGAATATTGATGAATCAATGATTCAATGAATGACTGAGATGTAAAAGCTGAAGGCTGACACACAGATTTGGGAGCCATCAACTCTGTGTTAACTAAGCCTTGCCAGTACACAGTGAGAATCTGCAGTGTGAGGACAGAGTTCTGGGGAATGCCATACCTTAAGGGACGGACAAGAAGAGTTCATAAGGGAACCCAAGAAGGGGAAGCTGGAACGGATGGTGGAAGGACATGAAGGAAGCTAGGGAGTTAAAAGTTGCAGGAACAAGGGCCATGGCAATAATACAGTCTGCACACAAGTCAAGGACCAATGTCTGCATTGACTGTAGTAACTCAGGTTACTGATTTTTTGTTTTTGTTTTTGTTTTTTTGACTTAGCAGTCTCCCTCTGTCGCCCAGGCTAGAATGCAGTGGCACAATCACAGCCACTGCAGGCACAAGTGATCCCACCTGTCTCTCCAAGTAGCTGGCAATATAGGTGTGCACCACCATGTCCAGCTCATTTTTTGATTTATTGTGGAGACAAGGTCTCACCAAGTTGCCCAGGCTGGTCTTGAACTGGGCTCAGGCAATTCTCTCACCTCTGCCTCCCAAAGTGCTGGGATCACAGGCATGAGCCACCACACATGATGTTCTTGGTGAAAAGCAATGA